AAGGAGGAGAAGCGGTTCCAAATGCAAAGGGGCTCGTGAGAAGCCTGGGTGCTGGTGGCTGCTCCTGCGCTGTGATGGATGGCGGCAGCCACCGCGTTCCTTATCTGACGGGGAGCCGGGAAGGAGCCGCTCGCGCAGGGATCCTGCTCGAATCCCATCGCAGCCGGGGAAGTCAATCACACTCCTGTTGCAGCGCGCCGCGCCGGGAGGCAGCCGGCTGCCAGCGCGGGAGCTGCCGGGGGAAGTTTTATGGGGCCTGAATCAATCAGTGGGAATCCCATAAAAGCCGCCGGGTATAAATGTGCTCCTCGGATCGGTTTTGACATGCAATTGTCTTTTCCATTTCGGATGCCATAAAGCTGCGCACACCCGTGTCTATAGGGAGAGCGCCGACGTGCACGGAACGGGGCTGGAAGCGCCCGTGTGCGGGCAGGCAGAGGGACCTGCATGTGGCATCCCCGGGGTGCCAACGCCGGGATGCAGCTCACACGGAGCGAGCTCCGGCCCTGCCAAGTGCACCCAGCGCCAGCGCAGAGCCCACGGACACGGCCGCACCCACAGGAGCTCGGGACACCCGAATCCCCATCGGATGCAGAAGTGCCCGCTGCCAGCACCAGCCCCAGGGATGAGCCCAGGTTCCCACAGCAGTGATACAGGGATCCATTAACCCAAGGTGGAGGCAGGCGATGGGTGACTGGGGATCGATTTGCAAGGCTCTCTCAAAATCTCATTTAAAACGAGGAAAAAAAAAAAGAAGAAAAAAAAAAGAAAAAAAAAAAAAAGACACCTGGAGCGTGCGCGCGGTGCCAGGACACGTCAGCGAGGCAGCCCAGCCTTTCCGCAAGCGGCACAACCAGCCAGCCGCCGTTCAGCCGGCAGAGAGGGCGACTCCTGGGAAAGCTGCCCCCTCCGCAGCCCGTCCCTCCTCCCGGTGGAGACGCGGCGGCTGCCAGCGCGGCAGCGAGCGGCTCGTCCATCATCCCTCCCTGAATCACCCGCCGCGCTCGGCTGCCTGAGCGGCGGGGCCGCAGCGTGGAGAGCAGCTCCGGTGCTTGAATAAAAGCGATGGGAAATTCGGGATGAGAGCCGCCCAAACCGGGCTCCAGCGGCCGCCCCGCGCACGGCTCCGGGGGACTAATATTGTTATTTCCTCTCTGATTAATTCCCCCCGAAAGCGCCACAGCCTCTCTGTGACACCGGGAACTGCGTGCAGGTGCTCGAGGATGACAGGACATCTGTCCTGCTGCACGCGGCTCCCGCCGCATTGCATAATTGCTCGGGAATCAGCAAGCAGCTTGGTGGGTGCTGCAGCAGCAGCTTGGCTGGGGTTACAGCAGTTACCTACACTGCTCGCTTGGTGCTCGCTCCAGCCCTGAGCATCCCACCCTCGTCCCGGTGGAAATGCCTGACGGAGCGGGGAGACCTGCCCTGCATCCTTGGCAGCTGAGTGCACCGCATCCACGTGCAGATGATGCCGGTATCTGACAACGTTTCCACCTGCAAATGGCTCTGTGCATGAGAAGGGCCATTCCCAGCGCTCCGGCCTCGGCTGCCTGGCACGGGCTGCCCGCGCTGCCCCTTGGTGCAGAGGCAGCGCAACCTGCACGCTCTGCACGGGAGGGCTGTAAATCAGCCCCCGGGGGCACTCCAGTGCATGGAGACGCGGAGCAGCTCCCTGGATGCAGGGGTGTCCGTGCAGCCTTCCCAACCAGACGCTTCCCAAATGCGGCTTTCGCGCGCGGAGGCTGCAGGGCCGGGCACGGCGGCAGCGCGCGAGCCAAGAGGCGCCCATGCCAGCCTGGCGGCCCCGCCAGCCCGCGCTCCTGCCCATTCACTTCCTTAATTAAGTGCTCAGGCGGCTGGCGCCTGCCGGTGCCCGCTGGAACAGGCAGCACTGCAGCCCATGGCACTGAGCGCGTCCACTCCGTGCCACCCTTCCCGCCAGGGACGGACGGGAAGAGGGAGCTGCGGCTGTGCAGGAGTGAGTGCCCCGGGGCTCCCATCCTGTCAGGCTGCTTGGACGCACCTGGGAGCATTTGTGCACCTGGAGCCGAGCGGGCACCTGGAATGGAGCAGACAGGAGGTGCCCTTGGGCAAGGAGTCTGAAACGGGCCACCCTGTCCCCGTCCATGGGGCTGGAGGTGCAGGATGCAACCGGAGCCGCCCAGGGCAGCCGGAGGCGAGGGGAGCGCGGGGCGCTCCGGAGCTCCCGCCAAGCCGGCTCGCGCAGCGCGGCCGCATCCCGCGGCTCCCGGCGCTCCCGCGGCGCAGAGCGGGAACAAGCGGCTGCTGAATAATTGAATCCCTCAAATCGCTCCCTTTTCCCCGCGGTTTCGGCGCGCGCTTGTCACCGTGCCGTCAGGCAGCCACTTTGCTTTCCCCTCACTTATTCATGAGCGGGACTGTCACGGTGCTCCCGGCGGAGCGGGGCCCCGCGCTGCCGGCCCTGCAGCACCCAGGGCCCCAGGCGTGGTGGCTTGGCGCAGAGCCCGCGTCTTGGGGACATTTGGGGACACGGGAGGGACATTCCAGCTCTGTGTTGCTGCACACGCGTCCTGTGGCCGATCCAACAGGACGCCCCTTTCTGGCTCCCCATGCCAGAGAGCTCCAGTGGCCAGAGCTGCCCTGGGGCAGGATAGGGACAGGGACAAGGATGGGAACAAGGACAGGGATGGCGGACACATGTGTCCAGTGCCAGCTGCCAGGTTTGGGGCAGCAGGACTGAGAAACTGGGGAAAAACTGAGGGATTCGGGTCTGCCCGGCTCCCGTCACTCCAGGCTGCTTGCACAGGGCTCCTCCTCTCCTCCCCCTTTTCCATGTTCCAGGCTGTAAATCTGGGAACGAAGCAGCGCTTCCGAGTGGGGTGGGGGCGGCGTTGGCGGCTGGCAGGCGCCGAGCGTGGCGCGAGGCCGTGCCAGAGCCGGAGCGCAGCCGTGGAAAACGCCTGGCAGGCTGTGGAAAACGCCTGGCAGCGGTGGCGGGAGCGCGAGCCGAGCCCGGCCCCACGTGTCCCTGCACCGCGGTGCCCGCGGCCGTATCCAAACTGGGAGGCTTGGCTGGGAACGGAGGCAGCCGGGATGGCAGCAGGGATGGTGCCAAGGTGGGAGCTGCCACGTCACTGCAAGGCGCATGGCAGGGAGCAGATCCCGCAGGAGCAGATCCCTTGGAAGCAGATCCCATGGCAGCAGATCCCGTGGGAGCAACAAGCAGCACCGCAGCTGCTGCAGCAGCATCCTTGCTGGGGCAGCTGCGGAGCCCTGGCACAGCGGGATGCAGGGATGTGGGATGCGGGATGCGCAGCTTGCACAGGGAGCGCTGCCGGCCAGCGCGGGGACGCAGCGGCAGGAGGGAGGTGACAGCAAATGCCACCACTTGCCAGCAGCAGCGGCATCCATCAGCGGCTCTGGGGCCCGGGGCGGGCGGCGCGTTCCCTGTTCACGGACGTGGCAGCGCCGGGGCCGGCCGGGCCACCCCGCTCCCGCGGTGGCAGCTCAAGGTGAGCGGCAAGGACAGGCATGGGCAAACCTGGCGGTCGCCATGGTTACCCTGCCGCTTCCCCCGCGCGGTGACACAAGCGCACGGCACCGGCACCGGCACCGGCACCGCGGTCCTGCCTGGGCCCCGGTGCAGCCGCGGGAAGCGGCGGACGCGGGATGCCCGGAGTGCCCATGGGGACATCCTTGTGGCACATCCATGAGCATCCCACTCCATTCCGGAGGCTGCCACCCCTCCCTGGCTTTCCTGTGGTGCCCAAGGAGCAGCCGCATCCCTCGGGTCCCATTTTTTGGGAATCTGAGGCCTGGAGCTCCCCTGGCAAGACCCGGACACAACACGGGACCCGGTGCCAGCCCGGAGCGCCGGGCATTGCCCGCTCCGCATGGAGCCCAACCCCGGCCCGGGGAGCGCGGAGCAGAAAAGGGAGCTTTTGGCGAGGGGGGGACGAAGTTCAATGAGATTTGTAAAGGGCACAATTTACAAAATCCATCACATATTTTACTAGGCTGGGATTTACGGATTAGCCTGTAATACTTAGGTGGCTTTTTGTAATAAAACCCTGAGCTGCACAGCCCTGGGAAAGTGAGAAGGTGGGAGCCGGCGCCTCTCCATCCCACACTCATTTTCCCAGCATTTCTCCCTCTATTTTTTTTTTCCTTGATCTTGGCAAACCCGTTAATCTGGGCTTTATCTGCCCATGGAGGAGGCCTGAGCTCTTTATTGGATTTTTGTCAAGAATAAATGATTTTGCTCGGGATATTGCGGAAACGTTTTCCGTGCCTTCAGAGGAACCTGCACCGGGCTCGGCTCACCAGTTTGTGCGGCATCTCCTGGCCTGGAATTTCCAGCAGGATGTGGCCACATTCCCAGCAGCACGTCCAGCTCCGGCTCCCAGTAGCCACATTTGGCTCCCCAAAAAGGGACTGGAGTGAAGGGGGGCTCCTTGGGCGCTTTCCTGCTCTGCAAGGCCATAGGAGCCGGGCTGGGAATGGGCGTCAGCAGCACCTGAGAGGCACCAAACGAGCGCATGGGGTTTGTGGAGCCTCCTCATGAAGCAAATCCCTTGGGAATGGAAACCCTTTGGCTGTCAGGGTGCATGGGAAGCCTGCAGCAAATGCCGTGGCCATGAAGGGAGGTCTGGATGCCTGGGATGCACCGTGCTCCGGCCACACTGTGCCCCGCGACCCAGGAGCGGCGCAGTAAGGACATATAATATGTATTATTTTCTAGTATTATTTTCTATCAACCGCTTGCACTGCTTTAAATCAGCCGGGATGCCCTCGCGCGGGACATGGAGAGCCGCGTGGAGCTGGAAGCTCTGCAGTGTGCTGCCGGTGCAGGAGAGTGTGGAGGGAGAGGCGAGCGTCACCCCACTAATGACGCACGAGGCTCCCCAGCTCCTAAGTAATTAATACTTAGGGCAGCACCGGCACGTGCAGAGCAGGGCAGCGCCCCTGTGCCCTGCTCGCCCGCCTGCCCCTTTGCTCCTCTGTGTCCCAATTACCCCGCTGTGCGCGGCTCCACCTCGGAGCTGCTCACGGAGAGTTTCTGCACCTTGGAAAGTGGGTCAGGAGCAGTGGCGAGGCGGCTCAGGATCAGGCGGATCCAGTCTTGGATGTGCTCGGGACACTCGTGCTGGCTGCCAGGTAGAGCACGGATGCACACTTCATGTGAGCTATGCATGGGTGCACGTGCCATGCATGGGCGCATGCTCGGTGCATGGGTGCACGTGTTGAGCATGGGCGCATGCTCGGTGCATGGGTGCACATGCCGTGCATGGGTGCATGCTCGGTGCATGTGCCGTGCATGGGTGCCTGTGCCACCCATGGGTGCCCCAACCACAGGCCGGTGCCCCTGATGCGCAAGGGCACAGGGACAGGCCCTCTGGAGCGCGCACCGTGTGCGCAGACACGAAGGGTTTATCACAGCGGGACACTTGCTAATTGCAGAGCTGCCTTCCAGCTGAGCTCAGGAGGCAGCACCCGGTCATTAGAGGTCAGTGGGGGGAAAAATAGGGAAAGAAAGGAAGAAAAGGGAGCGCGATGGCCCTGCTCGTGCCCAGGCACCGAGCGCGGGGACCGCTGCGGTTGTTGGAGCTGGCCACGTGCAGGGCCCGGCGGCGTCTCCTCTTCCTCGCAGCCGCTCCGGGCCCCCGTCCCCTTCCGTATGCGGGAAAAGGTCACACTTCAGCTCCGGTGAAGGAGCGAGGAGCAGAGCAGCGTGAACGGCGCCAGCCCCAGGTTTGCCCGAGACATTCCTGTGCTTTGCAAGGAAATGAGCAGCGCGCGGCTCGCTCGTTGCCTGGCTCAGGAGTCCCGTGCACGCAGCTGCGGCGGCTCAGAATTTCCACTGCAATTGCAAAGGTTTTCCAGAAAAAAACAGGCAGGGGTTGGGAAGAACAAATAGGCCCAGGCGGCTCCGGAGCCGGCAGGACACGGTGCCATCCTTATGGCATCTTCCCGATATCCTCACAGTGTCCCCCTAGCATCTTCCTGGTCTCTTCCTGGCCTCCTCTCCACATCTTCCCAGCATCCTCCCAGTATCCTCCCAGCATAATTCCAGTATCATCCCAGCGTCATTCCAGCATCATCCCAGCATCATCCCAGTGCCCTCCTGCTGCTTCCCAGCCCCTGCAGCTCTCCACGCTGCCACAGGACGAGTGTCCCCAGCTTTCCCAAGCCCTGGAGCAGCTGCGGGGGGACAGGGACGAGGATGGGGACAGGGACGAGGATGGGGACAGGGATGAGGATGGGGACAGGGATGGTCCGGGCGGCTGGACTAATTTCACAACCACAGGAGGAAAATTAGGCCAAAGCTGGGCCCGCGCCCGCTCGCTCCCACTCCCTCCCTCCCTCCAAGTGATCATCGCCCTCATTAAAAAGCGACTAATTATTATTCTGGCTCATTAGCAATTATAAATCTCCAGCTCTGGTACTTCATTAAAAAAATGACAAGTTAGCACTTAATTATGTTCCCCGCAGCCGGTCGGGTGCCAGCGTTAACCCTCCCCGTGCCGCCGCCGCGAGCGCCCGCGCCAGCCCCACGCTCCGGCTCCCCAAGGCTCCTCGCTTCCACGGGCAGATCCCTGGCACACCCTGCCCGCAGCGAGACCCTAAATCCCCCCGGAAGGTGGGACAACTTCCAGCTGCAGGACGTCCATAAATATATTAATTATAATCCCTGTATCGCTTCTCCATCATGCATTATTCCCGTGGTTATCTCCCGGTGTGTTCGCGGAGCCGACACGGCCGCTCGGCATCACTCCCATGATGCAGAATCCGGCCCATATCGGCACTTACGGCACCATCCTGCTCCGCACCGGGCATCCCCCGGGATGCAGCCGGGATGCCCTGAGGCCCAGGCTCGGCGAGTGCAGGGAAGGAGCGGCGGGAATACGCTCCAGCCGGCTCTAAATTGCTCCGGTTAAATTATGCATTAGCTTTTTAAAGAGCCGTTTAAGCTTGGAGCAAGATTTTTATTTATTGATTTACTTATTCTCGCAGCGCCCGGTGCCACCTCAGGCTGTCCCATCTCCTCGCAGGTGGAGGCGCGCAGTGGGAAGCGATTCCAGCTGCAGCCGAGCCGCGGGAAGCGGCTCTGCCCTTGGCGCGGGCGGCCGCCTGACCCACGGGCACTTGTCACCCGCACTCGGCGGTGTCACCATCACCCTCGCGGTGACAACCGCCGCCGTGCAGCCTGCGGCGGAGCATCTGCACGGATTGATAAGGGGGGAAGCAACAGGGACGGGGACATTGCCATGGTCCAGGAGTCCCCAATTCCCGCAGCCTGCGGGAGAAGCCTTGGGGAGCGCTCACCCCCAGATCCCGCTCCAGCCCCATTGCCGGGGCAAAGGGAATGGGAATGAGTGGAATCTGGGAGTGGGATGTGGAGTGGGCAGGGCTGCGCTCCGCGGGAAGCTGCACGGGGAGCAGTTTTATTATTGTTATTATTTAATTCCCAAGGTCGCGGGATTTATGGCCCGAGCTTACGTCCTATCAGGCACGGCCAAATAAAAATGATGGATTTCCGCGCTTGTTCTGCAACAGCTTTCTGCGCTTGTTCAGGTTGCTAAAAATGTTTTCTGCTCAGAGAAAAGGGGAAAAAAAAAAAAAGAGAGAAGAAAGGAGAAAAAAGAAAAAAGAGCAAAAGGAGAAATCCAATAGGATCCGGGCAAATGATGGATTGCAAGAGATAATCCATCTTGTCAGCCCAGGACTGCATAACCTTGATGTCATGGGGATTTTTTCTCTGCCTGAAGCCGCCGGGTGGGAGCTGGGACCAGGGGCTCCCGGAGCCACGGGCCTTCCTCCGCACTCGCCCTTCCCATGGGATGCAGCACCACTGCCAATGGCTACGGCTGCTTCATCCCCGCAGCCCCGACCTTCAGCCTCCTCCCAGCCCCGCCGCCCCTGCGGCTCTCGCCTCGCGCGCGGCCCCGGCGCCCCTTCCATTTGGCTCCAGCTCCGGCCGTGAAAATTGGTGTGAAATAAAGAAAAAGGGAAAATAATAATAAAAAAAAGAGGTCCTGTGTGCCCGCAGATCAAATCAATCGCTCCGGCAGGTCGCAGGCTCCTCTGGGAAGAGCTTCCAATTTGCAGCCTGGCGGCCTCCGCTCCCCGCTGCCCCCGGATGCCTCTTCCCGCTTTCCAGCCGCGCTTTGATGTTGCTGCCGCTCCGGGTGCCAGCGGGTGGGAATGGCTGGGTGCACGTGGGACACGGGACACATGGGACACGGTGCAAAGCGGGGGGCTTTGCCCCGCTTCGTCCCCATCCCAAGGTGCTTTTTTTTTGCGTTGCAATTTGCATTGCATTTGCACGGTGTCACCAAGCCCTTTGCTGCACCTGGGCGCCAGGACCCTCCGCTCTGTCCCCGCTCGCCCCGGCCCAATTAGCCCCCGGGCGCTAAAGCAGCCGCGCCGCCTCCTCATTAGCGCTTCAAGCGCCCGCGACGTTCGTCAGGGAACCTTGATATTCTGCGGGAGACTAGAGCCCTGCAAGGGGAAAGGGAGGGGAAAATAAAAAAGCAAAGCAAAGCAAAGCGCCCGCTTTCTTCCCAGCGCTTTCCTTTTGCTTTGAGGTTAATAGAAGGCTAATTTGAAAGCACCCAGTTAATGAGAAAGCTAAAAATACTCCTCCCGCGCAGCGCCGGCCGACGCACGCCCGTCGCGGCGGCACCGGGAGGGCTGCGGGCGCGGGGCCACGGCGGCAGCGCCAGCCTGCCCCACGGCGCGGGGCTGGGGGTCCAGCCGCACCAGCGACCCGGAGCCAGCGGGAGCTGCCCGACGGGCATCAGCCTGCGGAGGGGGACCGCGACGGGCACGGCGGGGTGGGTGCTGAGATGGGTGCTGTGATAGGCACGGTTGGGTGCTGAGATGGGTGCACGTGGGTGCTGTGATGGGTGCTGAGATGGGTGCACATGGATGCTGTGAGGGGTGCACGTGGGTGCTGCAATGGGCACGGATGGGTGCCGTGATAGGTGCACATGGGTGCCGTGGTAGGCGCACATGGGTGCTGTGAGGGGCGCAGGTGGGTGCTGCAATGGGCACGGATGGTGCTGTGATGGGCGCACATGGGTGCTGTGAGGGGTGCAC